GAAGGCGCTGGGCGAGGCGGGCGCGGCGGCGGCGGCAGCGTCGTCGGCGGCGGCGGGGGATGTGCGGCGCAGACCCAGCGTGTCGTCGTCGGAGCCGCTGCCCTCGCTTTCATCTTCATCGTCGTCGGACGGCACGGTCGTCTCCTGGCGCAACATCTCTGCGCGTGGGTCGATGCCGACCCCGGAGTGCTGCCCGTATGGTCCGGCGCCCTGCCCCGGTGCCTGCGCCGCCGCCACTTCCACCGGTGCTGGAGCGCTCGTGCTCACGGTTATCATCTCTGGTGCATTATTATTTGGTGTCTCCGTTGCTTGCATGGTTATTTTTTTGTATACATGAGCATCATTATCATTTATCAAACGAGAGTGTTTCCAAAAGATGTCAATATAATCGGTGCGGTTGTTCGGAATATCAAGCGATGAGAAAGTAATCAGTTCCTGTTGCAGCTCCTTAGAGAATGCTGCATTGCAGAGATGGCCGTCGCAAACACAGGTCAGAGTCAGTTTCGGGGAGTAAGTTAGTGAGCAGGGCTTATTTCCACCTGTGGCGCATGTCAGTGTAGATGTATAGTCTGAAACAAAGACTACGTTATGGCCTTTTTTGCAAATCTTGGCTAGCATGCAAAAAAAATAAAGTCTTAGCGATGTCGTACAAAACAAGTCAGACTCATTAGAATGTTCCTCTGCATCACATATGCACAACCATCGAAACACACAGTGGTGGGTAAATGCGAAATTATATATTTTCTATTTTGGTACGTACCTAATTTAATTACTAAGAAAGAAAGAGGTAGTACTTCGGTATATTTATCTCGCATTCTATTAATAAGTAATAAAATTTTCATTAACTGTGTTTGTGATAGTTTATATATTCCCAGAATTCAACAAAACTAAAGTAACAATTTGATTTTAAATTGGAGAAAATTCCAGTTCAAAAAAAGGACTAAATAGCCAATGAAATGGATATAAACTGCCAATACAATGGAGATAAATAGCCGTACTGGAAAGGACGCGATAAATTGGCGACCTTGCGACCTTCCACTATTTTGGGACAAAAGCATTGAAAGGTAGTTGCTTTTTAGTTGTGCACTATTAATATGGCCTATCTTGGCAATCTTCATGTCAACGTATAGGTGCAAAACAAAACTTTATGTTGACGTGGACAGACGGGCAGAGTTGGTGAAGCGATAAACTACGATGGCTAGTGACTGGGGGGCCAATCCAAATGCCTTGGCCTGGGATTGGCCAGCCTTATTTCATAGCCATGTCCGAAAACCCTGTAATACTTTGTTCTCCCTAAACAATGTTTATTGTGTACCGATGATGAGCAATGGCATGGACCGTCGATATCTTAGCAAAGCACAGAGACCTACCGCTTGACAGCTGACGACAAGAATGAAATATCGGGCAAATACCTAGGATGATTTGGACTATTAGGGCGTTTGTCCACCGCCACCGTTACGTCACCGAGAACGAGATTATTTTAGAGCTTAGTTTGACGTTGTACTGTTACTATACTAACTTGGGGCGGCGGCGGTTGTAGCGCAGTAGGGTCGCTCCGGGGGGCAGGTGGTGGTATCAGGGGGCGCGGGGGGGCCGCATGACGACTTCTCGCTGCACTGGAAGCAGCGGCGCGGCTCCGGGTCTGCTGACAAACACACCTCTTACCATCTGAGTAGTACTAGCTCGGGTTCAAAGCCAAAGTCAAAAAGTCAAAAATCTTTATTCAAATTAGGACATAAAAATATCACTTATTGATAGTCACTTAGTCAGCATTTAAGCTGAAGCTGAAGCCACTTGTACACATTACACTGTAATGTGTACAAGTGGCTTATCGTAGAGGACGAAACTCACAAGAGTTGTCGCAAGACACTCGTGAGACCGATGCCTCGCAGATTCGCATTCATAGTCCATCTGGACTATACATATCCTATTGATAATCATTACATTACGCAGAAATGGATTAGTCATTGTAAATAAATTATAAGTAAAAAACATTTTTAAAACAAGCTTTTATTTGGATGCGCTAAAAAGCATAAAATAATCTATTTACTAAAACTTTAACTTGTTACTTATAATGGCATTAAATCAACGTCTTCATAATTTATACGATATAAAAGCTTGTCGCGAGATTTAAGTAGGTACTCGTGTGGTGTTAGGTTAAAAGTTTGTTCAAGATCATTTACACTGGTTACCTAATTTATTTATTAATATATAGGTACACAGGTTAAATCTCGCGACAAGCTTTTATACCTATCGTATAAATTATGAAGACGTTGATTTAATGCCATTATAAGTAACAAGTTAAAGTTTTAGTAAATAGATTATTTTATGCTTTTTAGCGCATCCAAAGCTTGTTTTAAAAATGTTTTTTACTTATAATTTATTTTTTACTTTTCAGCAATCTCTGGAAAACAAATATTTTATGCCATAGTTGATTATGTACGTTGTGCGATAGAACCTACCTACTTATTGCATTCATGAACATAATAGGTATAAATTGACAACATTCTTCATTGACAGTGCCATGAACAGAAGACTAAAAACCCCAACACAATATAACCACTCAAATCTATATTTAAAAATCTTGCGAAGCGACGTCATTTAGCTCACACTAGTATTTACCTGTAATTTTTCTGTGTTTGTCACCCACTTAGTAAGAAAACATAATAAACTTAATACGCCATCTTACTTTAAGTCCGCCATATCAGGTTTTGTTATGATTATGAGTGACGTAAACGTCACTTTATTTTTCGAGTTATTCTGAAAAATTCCTTTCATTTGACATCCATATTGTAAAAAAGCATAAAAATGATATTCTGCCATCTTAAGAAGTCCACCATAGTTAATTTAGAGTGACGTCAACTTATAATTCGAATAGGTAATTCTCAGCAATACCTTTCATCTGACACTCATATTGTAAATTATCTTAAAAGGCCATCTTTAGATGTCCGCCATATTATTTTCTGAATTGTACTCAGCTAGACCTTTCATTTGACACCCATATTGTAGGAGTGCGTCAAAAATTACTTACTTGTCGGCCATCTTGGATATTCCGCCATGATAGATTTAGAATGACGTCATATAACTAATCATGCATTGTCATCCGAACTAAACGTGTTTACAAAATTTCAGCTCAATCGGTTGAAGATATCTGCTTCTAAATTGAGTTGCAAGATTTGCCCCGAACAAACATATTTACTTACTTACTTACATACACTGCAAGTTAAATAAAAGCTTTTAAAAAGAGAAATGTGTAAAGCACAATTTTCTCTTTTGTATAACAATTTGTATTCCTACTATAAACGAGGCTCGGGCGGTTACCTGCCATGGGATCAAGAAACCCTGTTTATCCAGTTTTTAAGAATATCCGTATTAATTTGTTTGATGAGATGAAAGACTAACTCTAGCCTGTGATGTTTGTACCTACCTACCATGTTACAATATGATATGGGATGATTCTCACATTGTCACTGTTCAGACCATACCCTCATACCTTAGCAGAAATATTAACAATACCTATTGTCAAAATCCTTAAATATGCATAGGTACCTATTTCTGCATCTAAATCAAAACTTTCCTTTATTCCAGTATTACGCAAAGCACATCAGGTGGTTACCGAATCTATTACATTATCATATAAACTTGGTACCTACTTTTGCATCACACACAATTTTAATAGCTAGGAAATTATGTTGGAAATTATCAAGAAAACTTGTCTAACTGATACACACACACGCGCAAAACAGATATACCTAGGTCAAAACCTGGATAAAATAAATCTTATTTAGCATTCACGTTTGCAAATCAAATCAAATTAGCAAGCGAAGCCCATAAGCTCAAATGTAAGTACTGTGTTACGTACCTACCTATATCGTCATCAACTAATCTAATAACAAAGCATAAATAGCATTACGCAGATATATCTACTATTTACGCAGACAAACGAAACATAATGTTGCCGTGCAATGCCAGCTTAGAATAACATCACCCCTATTTCTGGCAGTGGGTTTCTAAATATTGCCTAAGGGATAAATTTGACCAGAAAATGGGTAGCCCCTGAACTAAGTATCTACAAGCCAAATTTTGTTTTTTTCCTAAACTCTGCAAAATAATGTCATAAAATAGACAGTTAACGGAAGGTTCACTCGACCCTATTTTGGATTTGATTGCCAATTGTTACATAACCAGGGTTGCTACTGTCAAAAATCTTGAAGTATAAGAATATCAAAACGACGTTCGTGGCAACCATTTTCTTAGTGTAGGTACCGTGAGTTCCTATGAAATTCTAGTTATTTCCAGTTAAAGTCAGTAAGCTTCAAAATCGTCGATAGTACTGAGTGAGCCATCTGTAAAGGCGCCCCGCGCACCGTCTCCCTAATTTGTGATAATATCATCATCAACATCTTACCATGGGGTACGTGCCATCTTCAAATTTAAGTGCCAGCTTCAAAGACAATAATATTGAACAGAAATATATGGATATCGCAGGGAAAATAGTGTATTATACTAGTAACAGGATTAATGTCTCGCATAGCAGCCTAAATAATAATTTTCAAATTAAAACAATGCATAATGAAGGTAAAATAATTCGCAACGCTGTCCTACATTTTCAAAGTATATCCAATTTAGGTATTTTTTTGCTATATTATTGAAATTTGCCATGAATTTTTTACTTATAATTTCTTTGCCTGCGTAGTCAAAGTATGAAAAACGTGATTCTCAAACGTTTTCATTCCCGGTCACAGAAAGAACAAAAAGAAAAAAAAAACAATGTCGGCCACCTATTGGGATTTATAGCACTCACAGTGCTATATTATTCTCACAAGTGAAAATAAGAAATAGAAAAAATGTCATACATCGACCGGGAATCGAACCCGGGCCGCGTGGGTAAACGCCCCACCGCTCTGCCACTGAGCTATCGATGTACCTGCCGATGGATGCCAAATTTTCTATCTCTTGATGCTCGTCTTGAAGCGAAAATTTGGCATCCATCGGCAGGTACATCGATAGCTCAGTGGCAGAGCGGTGGGGCGTTTACCCACGCGGCCCGGGTTCGATTCCCGGTCAATGTCGGCCACATTCACCAACAGGCAGTCTAAGGAGCACCTTACGAAACCTTTATGAGCTTACCTTTAGGTTTTATTATGTCGCTTTTGCAGTAAGCGACCATCACAATTAAAACGGCGAGATATATTGGAGAACTCATCTTCATGGCGAATCTGTCACCTGCAAACGAAAGTCAACAATGAGTTAGACTATAATACCCAAATAATACCTCTATATTCCGAGTTGATGAACGACCCAACTGTCTACTGTTTTATTTTAACGCAAACCTAATTAATTTAAAACAAACCGGGCTCTGCGCAGTCCAGCTGATAAGTAGCTTTCAAAACATTTAAACCGATTTTGTTTCATCATTATCGACTGAGAAAACAAAAATAGAAATTAAGTAAATTAACGTATTTTTTAAAGAAAAATTCGTAATTAGGTAAAATGAAAAATAAAAATCGGTTAAGTGCAAGTTGAACTCGCGCACAAAGGATTCCGTAACAAAACTGGCATAAAAAATACATTTGACGTATGGGTGCTCCCTTGCATATTAATTTAATTCTGCTTTTAAGTACCTATTTATTGTTATAATATAACGGTAGGTAATACTAATACGCGTTTACTGAAAATTACTGTACTTAAGACTTTACAATAGCAACCTGAAAGTTCGCGAACTGTCAGTTGATAAAAATATTTCTATTTCATTTATGCATCCCTCCCGCCCCGCTGTGGACCCTCCCGCTACCCCCTTGCCCTCATTGTATATGATCAATGACATTTACGTTTTGCAACCATTCACAAAATTGACCACTAAGTGCAAGTACCTGCGTGGCGTAAAATGTAAGCCGCTCCCCCTGGGATCAACGGTTTATTGAGAGTACAGGTTTCGAGTCACGACGACGACGGGTCGTTTTATACAAAAATCAGTTTTTTCTTTGCCTTTTTTTTACACACATCACGCCTACATCCCTTGCAGGGTAGGCAGAGTGTGAGATATTTCTTGATTATATTTGCAATATTAGAAATCCTAATGGGTACAATTATTATCTAAACTAATCACTCTGATGGATGACGTTTCAGATTCTCAAAAATCGGACAAGTGCGAGTCGGACTCGTAAACGAAGGGTCCCGTACCATTGTGTTTAAAAATAGCATTTATATCACATTTGTTGTATGGGAGCTCCTCTATTTTTTAGTTTTTGTTGTCATAGGGCAATATTAATATGGAGACCCAAGCGACAGCGGTCGAGGGTGGACGTGTGTCCGGTCACCCGGGGGTGCGCGCGCGCAACCAACCCCGAAATTTTATTTTATTTTTCAAATAAATATCAATCAGTGAAGTGAAAGTGTTTTTGTGTATTAAGTGCGAGACTCTTGTATGTAATATGTGTGAGACTAATGTGTTAATTAAGTGAGACTCTTGTTAAGTGAAATCACTTTGTCGGGTCAGCATCGTGTTATGAAAACCTGTAAAATAAGGGCTTAGCTGCGCATCGTATCGCGGGGAATGGGTGAGATCTGTCCTGCAAAATGCATGGTTTTATTAATTAATCTAGACAACAACCGATGTTTATGGCCGGAAAATTTTATTCCACGGACCAATCTGTAATGATGAAGATAGACATTTATAAGTGGTAGGCGTGGGCAACTGGTATACCTTATGAAGGAAATGATTAATAGGTAAACTATTGGCAAAAACCTGTTATTAGGTACGTGTATTATAAAAAGCCCTACTAAAGAGGTATCTGTCTGTCTTAGCTTTACTGAAAACAAAATAGTGTCCTGCGAGAAGAACAAGGCGTCAACGACGGCGTCGGAAGAGCTAAAATTTAAATATTTATGACACTGAATGAGAGAGAAACATGATAGTTATCTACCTAACTAATATCTACTACGTGTTTTAAAAGTGTTTTTTTTTTGTCGTGTTTAGGTGTCTATTGCAGAGTGTTTTATATTAGTGCATGGAGTATTGTGAAATTATAAATGATTATCTTTTGCCGTGGTAAGTGTTTAAATATCAAACTTCTCAGTTTGTAATAGTGCCTCAGAGCCTTCTTTAAACATTGCCGCCATGGTTGAGTAATGCCATCAAAAAACCCAAACGCAACGCCTCGCGCGCCGTTTTCCTAACTTGTAATAATAGCGATCAGTGCATACTTTCTAACTATACTCCAACGTCAATGGATTCACAAAACATCTGGGATCATAAAGCTACATTTAAAGCCTCATAAAGTGCAAAACGGAGAACTTAGGTCAGTTCCAGGGAAACCAAACCAACATACCGGACGACAGAATGAAGACAATAGCCCGTCCCGCCTACAAATGAATAAAAGAAAACATCTGGCTTCGAAAAAAAACGACTCGGCGGGTCAACAGATGAGGCCCCCGAACGAAGCAGCTCACTCAACATAAAAAATAAGTTATTTACAGTACTATAGTACAAAAATTTATATCTACTATGAAAAAGAAGAGGAACCGAAGAAACAAGGTGACACCCAGTATGAATTCTAATAAAAGGAGTTCAGCTCTCAACTTCGCACCCATCTAAGGCACTGATGGCCCAACCGCCCAGCATCAACGCTCATTGCCTATAGAATTTACCCGTCTTTCCCAATATCCTAGTTTGCCTAAAAGCTGCATAGCTGGGTGAATGTGGTCATCCGGTTGCGGCTAGATGATCTTCCTCCCCTATCCCAGAGCGTGTCCGTCCTGAAAAAAAACTGCACCCCCCGGTTTTATCCAGCTTGCTGGGGACTGGCTTCGGCCTGGCTGGGACAGTGCCAATCTAATCTAATCTAATCTGTTGTCATAGGGCAATATTAATATTAGTAATACATGGTTGTGAGAATTTCAACTGTCTAACTGTTACTGTTCATGAGATACAGCATTTGAACCATCATAGATAAAATCGAGCATAAAAAGACGTTTTTTGTATGGCTGGCTGTATTTTTATTTGTATCAAATGTTCAGTATTTGTTGTTATATATAGCGGCAACAGAAATTCATCGTCTGTGAAATTTGCGAGTTGCGACTCTCTACCTATAACCATTTATTAGGTAGTGCCTGCTGACAGATGGACAGACAGCGAAGTCTCAGAAACAGAGATCTGTTTCCACCCTTTGGTTACGGTACCCTAAAAATCTACTAGACTTAGTGCAGCTATTGGAAAAGTATGGATAAGACTTTATTTTTGGATTATAATTACCGCATTTTTTCAGGATGTAAATAAGGTGTCTAAAAATGAACTACAAATATTTTAAGGCGTGGACTGACCACGAAAATAAACAACTTTCCCTAAGAAACATAGGCGGATAAATAAATAAAATTTGGATCCACTCAGACGCGTCCAGACAGACAGACAATGTTGCCAGCGAATCAAAACTAAACGAAAACTACACTTCCGATCAGAAAAATCAAGACGCTTTGCAACTTTACATTTTGTACGGATCACATTATCTGAGACATATGTTTATTTTGGTATGAATGTCTAATGTAGATGTGTCAAACAACAAAAACCCGACTGGGGTAATTTTAAAGTAGTATTTTGCTGTATAAAATCCGCCATCTTAAATTTATATTTTTTTAATATAGCCAGTGTCACTTGCGCTGCTAAGACAAATCTAACGAGAACTCATATGTCATAATCCAACTATCCGATTGGGCTGTATGTAGCCCGTAAAAAAGAATTTTCTTGTCCACATACATACATACAAACATACATAGGTACATTCTCTCGAAAAACATAACCCTGAAAAAAAGGTGAACGCATACATATACTTACGACTAATTTTAATTACATGCCATTGTAAGCATGAGAGGTCCAAAGTATTTCATTTTACTTTTCTTGGTCTGAGTCTCTTGGGGAAAAATCAAATATATCCTGTTAATTTTTTTACACCATAAATGTCTGTATTTTTATAGGTTTCCCAAATAAAAAGTCCTATCCATACTTTTGCCAACTTGTGAAAAAATCAAAAATGGATCAAATAGTTTTTTCTATCTGACATTTCCCGTCATTTTTTGATCGAAGAAACAAAAGAAAATACCCACCCACCCAAGACACTTTCCAAGACATAAGAGCCTATAACACTAGCGTTTTTGGAGCGGATGCTGAGCGGAGCGTATGCGCACCAAATTCGTAACATACGTGCGGCGGATGCGTAGCGAATGGATTTGCATTGTTTTGATACAAATAACGACGGTATCCGCCGCACGTCCGCGAGAAATTCACTGCGCATCCGCCGCGCCTACGCAGCTACGTCGCGCGTCGGTGGTGCGAATTCGCTGCACATCTGCCACGCATTCACAAAGAATTTGCTGCGCACTGCAAACTGCTAGTGTGATAAGGCCAAACTCCTTGTTGAAACAAATCTGAAAGTCCTCCTCACTCCGCCTATTTTGATACAAATAATGATAAAACATTGTGTGCATACATGATCATGCATGACACATTTTATAAGGATTATAAAGATGCAAAAAATACAAGACTTTGAAAGAAAACAAAATAGGTATGTATTGGCATTACCAGGAATTGAACTCCACTCTCTTTGTTTCAAAGTCTCGCATCTGACCATGTGAGCTATTTTGTCATACCATAATCGGTCGAAATTGCTGATATAAATCAAATCGCATCTTATGTCATACCAATATCTGCTATATATATAATTTATTGCAAAGCGCCACATAGGGTAAGCAGTACCGGTAAAAATAACTAGTAATAACTACATTTAGCAATAAAACCGCCTCTGTGGTAATCATTGGTTTATTTTCTTTATCCATGCAGTAAAATTTCTGATTTATATTGCTCTTTACTATGGTGCAATTAAAACTTTTACCGCTAAATTGTGATTTATATTGCAAATATGTTGCATTGTATTGGTCGTTGTAGTACTTACATAATATGTACGTACCTACCTTCATTCAAGTCCAAATAAATAATTAGGTAACTGAAGTACCTAAAGCTACTCAATTAGTACTACGAGTTATTTTATGATCCATTATTTAGCCTATCTTCTGGTGGTTT